AAGGCACCACGGGAACTTCTGGGCACCTGTGAGGGTCCCAGCAGTATAACTTGACTAGGACCTTTTTGTCATAGACAGGAAGGGACCATGGGAAGGACTTGCAACTTTCACCACCCTCACCTGGGCTGCTCAGGAAAATGTTTTTATAAAATCTCTGTACCCTTTCTCAACTTTTAACCTTGAATTATTTGGATGCTGGAAATTGAATTTGTGTGTTGCCCATCTGTCAGGAGATGAGCTGTGAAATTTCTCCTTGCCATGGCTGTGGGCTGTGTGATCTTGGGCAATTTACTAATGTCTCCAGGCCGTAGATAAAATGTTTAATTTCACATGATCTCTGAAGTCCTTTAAATACTAATACCCTGTCCTCTTATAATTTTATTACTTCAATTTTGTTAGTCACAGACCTGTTTCTCATGTAGTCATTTTTTGTTCGCCTTAGGATATATGAATCTGAACAGAAGGGTCCATAAAAAGTCAGAGAAGCTCTCGTGCTTCCCCTTCCAGTTATAACATCTGAAATAGATCTGCATAAAGAATACAGATGGAGCTCTTCACTTTACAAAATGCTGTGCCAGGCCCTAAGCTGGCCCTTTGAAAATACAAAGACTAGTAAGACAAGGGGCTTGTTCTCAAGGAGCTCAGAGTTTAGTAGAGAGAAGACATGTCATCAAGTACAGGTGCTTCCAAGAATCACAGGGCTGTGGTTAAGGGGTGGGGGAAGGAAAGACTTTATAGTAGGTGTGAGTCTTCAGCTCATGATTGATGGATTAATCAATATTACCAGATGGAGTTTGGAGAAAGACATGCCAGAAGAGGTAGCAGTGTGGACAAAACATGGAGATGTGGGGCTCCCTGGCATATTCTGGGAGTTATAAGCAGTTTCTGTGGCTGTAGTGTGGACTGGAGATTGAGAACAATGAGAGAGTCTAGAAAGGTCTTCAAGACGAGATGATCATGATGGGGCATTGAACGCTACACAGGAGTTGAAACTTTAGCCTATAGTTAGTGGAAAACCATGGAATGTTTTCAAGAAAGGGGGTTTTGTGATTAGGTTTCAGTCTTAGGTATATGACTCTGAATGCAGCTTGAAAATTGGAGGGAGCAGATTTAACGTGAGGAAGCAGTTGCAGTAGTTAAGATGAGAGATGATGAGAGCTTCAATTAGAACTATAGCTTACAACTTTGGGGATGGAAGAGTGGACAGAAACCAGAACTAGAAACTCTAAGACTGGGTGACACTTTATTTTTGACCCTCACATCAGTACTATGAAGCAATCAAGGAGTGATGATTATTGCCATTTTATGAGACAACGAATCTAAAGCTTAGAAAGGTTAAGTGACTTGCCCAAGGTCCCACAGCTAATAAGTGGCAGAGCCCAGGCTACAACTCAGATTTCCTGACTCAGTACATTATTCAGGATGATGGTCCCTTGCTGCCTCTCTTCCTTGTAAATGTGCTTAACAGATTGTTCAAGTGTCAGAGGGCGTGAGGGCCCCGTATCCAGGGAAGTGAACAACCCAGCACCTGGATGTGGGCAGCATGCTGTGACTGGGCCCACGGCCCTTCACTGCCAAGGGTTCTCTCTCTCTCTCTCATTTCATTGAGGTATAACACACATACAGTAAAGTATATAAAGCATACAAATCTCTCTCTCTCTCTTTTTTTTTTTTTGAGATGGAGTCTCACTCTTTTACTCAGGCTGGAGTGCAGTGGTGCAGTCTTGGCTCACTGCAACCTCCACCTCCCAGGTTCAAGCGATTCTCCTGCCTCAGCCTCCTGAGTAGCTGGGATTACAGGTGCATGCCACCATGCCTGGCTAATTTTTGTATTTTTTAGTAGAGACGGGGTTTCACCATGTTGGTCAGGCTGGTCTCGAGCTCCTGACCTCGTGATCCGCCCACCTCGGCCTCCAAAGTGCTGGGATTACAGGCGTGAGCCACTGCACCCGGCCAAGTACACTAATCTTAAGTGTATATACCTTAGTAATGTTTTTACATATGTATATGCCTATATTTAACTACCACTCAGTTCAAAATACAAAACATCTCTAGGAAGTGGTACTTTTCAGGCACCCAAGGGCAGGCATGCTGTTCAGAGCAGTCTCCTCTATCACCATGCCTCTAAAAGCTTCAGTTGGAATTGTCTTCATCCCACAACTGAGCTCTGAATCACTCGCACCAACAGAATGGGTGACTTCAGAATTGTGTACCAGGAGTTGGATCACACGATACAACTAACTAATGAGGAGGTCAAGTTGACAGCTAATATTTGTTTTTTGATTTGTTTTCACATTTATCTAGTTACTTAAATTACAAGGATTCAAATATACAGAGAAGTACAGAAAACACTAATTTGTTTTCTTTATGATGAAACCAGGAGAAAATACAGAAAAATATTTTTATTCAGAAAAACATACAGATAGTATAGTTACTTCATCACTTGGAAAAGACAGTAATCAAAGGCACAGTCGCACTTGCTTCTTTCTTGGTTAACCTGAACATTATTTTATTGTGTATCATGCTGTCTTGTTCACTCTTTGGTTGGCGTGTGGCTGTGTTGCATCCCCAGCTAGATCATAAGTACCTTGTGTGCAGTGACCGTGACCTACGTGTGTTCCCTTCCACCGTGGCGCTCCCCTCAGTGCTGAGTGCAGTGTAGACCTCAGTTGCTCTTTGGACAAAAGAGTGATTTACTCTTTTGTGAAGAGTAAGTTAGTTTGACTTACTAACTTTAATTGTCACACAGTCCTTCAGGCTAATGTCAGACTTTTGGCTTATTATGAAAATTATGGTAAAGTATATACCACTTGGAGGAAAAAATTGGAATGTACTAGAACCTCCAAATTCTCAATTCCTACAGCCAAATTCGGGACTTCTGCCCCCTGGTGGCGTTCCCGTGGGGTTTTGAGGGAATGGGCTTGTTTTCATCTGACTTTTCAGAGTTATGTTTTACTTTTTAAGAGTTGTTTTGGGAGTGGCCACTGCTTTCCAGCCACACTGTATGGCAGACTAAATTTGGAGACATCTTGATAAAGATATGTTAACACTAATTGGATTCTTTATCCCTTTCCTGTTTCCCACTCCCCAAAGAAAAGAAATGCAAAATGATTGTTTAAAATGGACTCTCCTCCTCCTTCATTGTCTGCAGAGTCCTGTCTTGATGTCCAGGAAAGGCCCTGGGCTCTACATGGAGTTCTGCTGGGTCTCCATTTCTCTTACTAGAATTCTCCTTTTAGTGTGACTTTCCTGCCCATGATTTCCTTCTCATTTCTCAGCATCTGCTGTATATATTGCGGGCCATTAATGCAAATGCAGAGTCAGCCTACAACAGCCATCCACTTCTAGCCTTGCTTCAACAAAAACAGCACAGTCCCTGACCTTCTCTGGCCCCAGTACTTCTGGGATCAAAGGAATCAGAGGTATTATCTGTTACCTGAATGGGCAGAAGGGGTTACAGGATCTCTCTGGAGGTAGAATATCCTTGTCCTGGTAGAATTAGAGAGTGTATAGGCATACTTTCTTCTCATAACACCCTGTCTTAGCCTCTTAGTTAAATGTTTTAAGTATTGCCAATGCAGCCTCACCTTCTGCTAATATGCTATATAAAACCCCATATCCATGGCCCCCAAAGACTTTGAGTGGAAAAGATGTTGCTGAAGTTATTCTTTTTATACCATAAACAGAAATTTGAGTCAAGAATGTTTCCCCTCTAGTGTTTGAAATTATAACAAGGAAAATATCTAAAAAGTTAGGCAAGTCCCCTTTGGAACTCTTTTTTCTTTCCCCTCAGGATACCACGAAGATAAGTTTTTTTGAGTCACACCCTACTTCTAAAACATATGAAGTATCATCCTTCAGATGTCTCTAGCTGAGCTTTGAGTCAGCCTGGGAAGTCTCTGCAGATCATAAACTGGCCTCATCTATATTTCATACCTACCCCAAATTTGATATTTGCTTTCTTTTTTTTTTTTTTTTGAGACTAGAGTTTTGCTCTTGTTACCCAGGCTGGAGTGCAATGGCGCGATCTTGGCTCACCACAACCTCCGCCTCCTGGGTTCAGGCAATTCTCCTGCCTCAGCCTCCTGAGTAGCTGGGATTACAGGCACACGCCACCATGCCCAGCTAATTTTTTGTATTTTTTTTTTTTAGTAGAGATGGGGTTTCACCATGTTGACCAGGATGGTCTCGATCTCTCGACCTCGTGATCCACCCGCCTCGGCCTCCCAAAGTGCTGGGATTACAGGCTTGAGCCACTGCGCCCGGCCGATATTTGCTTTCTTAATGGCCCAAAGGACCATCTCTAATTAATGAGGAGATATTCCAGGTGGGGCATCCAGTAACACCTCAGCAGAAGATATTCAGGGGTATGCAAGAAGTATGTCTGTCTGGCTTCAGGAGAAGGAGTTATTAGCAAGGAGTGCCCCACTGGCTAACTAGGTTTAGTGCAGCACAGTGCCCAGTGCCTTTTAAGCTGCCATGGCCACAACTCAGTCCCTTCAGAGGAGATGGTAGTCCAGTAAGGTTCATGTAATGCGTAATTTTTTGTGGGCCTGTCTTTGAAAGCAACTTATAAATATATCTCCAGATGGTATTTCAGAAAATAAAGAGTGCTCAGTTGATCTGGTCAACACACAAAGGCTCCCAAGTTGCTACACTATTAATGAGAAAGTGGCTGAGGAATATACCAGAGCCTTAGGCCAAAATGTTAGGTAGTAGGAGGTGGTATTCATGGACATCTTTGTGATTTTAGTAGTAGGTAGAAAATCGTAACTCTTTTAGTATAACTTCAGATTTCCTTGATTTCAGATCATTTGGAAACATACATCAGCACTCCTCCCAACCCACTTACCCATTTCAGAAAGGCTGAGCCATCCTGTGTGTCTGAACAGGCTCCTTAGGTTGTGTGTTGTCCAGCACAAGACCCTTGCTTTGTGTCTGTGATTGGTGGTGGCCACTTCTTATTTCTGCCTAATGCCATTCTTGTGTCTTCCCTTAAGCAACTCTGCTGATGAAACAGGCCTGGCCACAGAACTCGTCTTCCTGTGGCACTGAAGGCACCTTCCACCTCCCAGTGGACACCGGGACCGAGAACCGAACTTACCAAGCATCCTCTGCGGCTTTCAGTAAATACAGCCTGTCTCCTTTCCTTGTTCCCCTTGGTTGGGACTGATTTGTTTCTTAGGAAGAAAGGAAAGGGAGCTTTTAAAAATGACATTTATGAGATAAATACTGTTTTAAGAGGTTATTTTCCCCAGGCAAAAAATTGGCCCTCCTTATTCAGGAAAGGTCATCCTCTTTGATCATGCACCCAGCTTTGGGGAGACACAAAGCACTGAGGGAGGGAGAAGGAAATACTCACCTGGCCAGCAAGTTGATTGGGGAAGGACTGTTACTGCATTTCAAGGGGAAAGGACAGAGGGCACATTTTGAAGGTCTGTGGGTCTTTGGACAGAGAGGGCTCGTCCCCAGCACAGGGCTTCTTAACCTTAGCACTACTGACATCAAAGCCACATAATTCTTTGTTGTCAGGGCACTATCCTGTGCATTATAGGATGTTTAACAGCATCCCTGGCCTCTATCCTAGATGCCAGTAGCAAAGCCTCATTGTGACAACCAAAAATGTTTATAAACATTGCCAAATATCCCCTATGGGACAAAATTGCCCCCTGTATGAGAAAGAGTGTCCTAGTGGAAGCTGCACTGCGCAAGGAGTCTTCATGGAGGCCAGAAACCAGCTAGCCAGTCTGACTGGTCATATTCATCCTGAGGCTCAGTAGAGTAACTGATACTGTCACCTTCATATCTAATTTTTAACACAAAGTGGTTCCACTGGGAAAATGAGGACCAATGTTTAGAAATTACTGAGTGGCATCTTGACTCCATCTAAGAAGAACTTTGTGTCTTGTCAGAGCTGTTCAATAGAGTTATGACTGACTTTGGATGTGGTGAGAACTTATCTCTTAAGTTGTGCCAGCAGGGACTGGACAAACCCTCACAGGGATGTTCCAGACAAGGCCTGATAGTCTGTGGTTCCACAAATTATTAAGGCACTAAGTAAGTAGAATAAAAAAATGCATTGTATTTTTTTCTTTTCTTTAAAACATCTGTGTTAGTCTGTTCTTACGTTGTTATGAAGAAATACCTGAGGCTGGGTAATTCATAAAGAAAAGAGGTTTAATTGGCTCACAGTTCTGCAGGCTGTGCAAGCATGGTACCAACTTCTGCTTAGCTTCTGGTGAGGGCCTCAGGAAGCTTGCAGTCAAGGCGGAAGGCAAAAGGGGAAGCCAGGATATCATGTGGTGAGAGAGGGCACAAAGGGCTGGGAAGGTGCCACACTCTAAATAATCACAGTTCACTCATCAGCAAGGGGATAGTGCTAAGCCATCATGAGGGATCCACCCCTAAGATCCAATACCTCCCACCAGGCCCCATCTCCAACACTGGAGGTTACATTTCAGCATAAGAGTTGGAGGAAACAAACCTCTAGACCATATCAACATCCAAAGTCATTTTCTTCTTAGTTTTCATTGCCCCTAGATATCAACATCAGTTTATGTTCATACAACGTAACTCACCTTTTGTAGAATATAGTTTCATGATCACCCTCTCTTTTAATCTACATTGTATTGTCCTAAGTTATTTGGGTGGATTTTCATCCCAGTGTGAAAGATGAGGCTCAGAAAGGTAATAGGTCCAATGCCACCCAGCTAGTAAGCAGCATAGCTGGAAAAAGATACCACCCAGATTAAGATTCTGTTACTGACTTTTTTCATGAGATTGATTTTACTCATTAAGAGGTATGTCAGTCATAAGGAGTTTTTCCAGATACCTCAGGTAGAATGAATGAACATATATAAGATTATATACATATATAAATAGGGATATACATATTCTCTCTGACATCTAAATATCTGGATATAGTTGCGTATAGGCACACCTACAGCAGTGTAGCAGAAAATGGCCTGGAGTGGAAGCCCAGAGCATTGAATTCTAGACTGGTTCTGTGTAACCTTGGATAATTCATGTCCGTGCATTGGACCTTGATTTTTCAAACTGCAAAATGAAGGAACTGAACTAAATTATCTCCAAGGTTCTTTCTTACAGTTAGACTTCTTATTCTCTCAGCAAGATGATGTGTATTCAGTGTCTTCCACTCCAACAGGGATCTCCTCTCGAGTTGCCCTTAACAGTGGCTGGCCAACAAACCATCTCCAAAAAGAGGCAACCTTTTCCACAGTTAGAAAGTCAGGGTAACAGAAGGCCTTGCATTCTACTATGTTGAAATCTTCCTGAAGTCCCATTAAGTGTCCAGCAGCCATAACCCACTGTTTCCTCCCAGACAGGCTATCACAGTCCTTGAAAAGAACCAAAATATAACCCCCCGATGACCTTTTTTGAGTAAGGGTCTTCACTCATACTGGAGTCCAGTGGCACATTCATGTCACACTGCAGTCTCAAACTCCTAGGCTCAAGTAATCCTCCCACCACAGCCTTCCATGTAGCTGGGACCACAATGCCCAGCTAATTTTTTTATTTTTTTGTAGAGATGGGGTTTTGCCACATTGTCTAGGCTGGTCTCGAACTCCTGGGCTCAAGCCCTCCTCCCAACTCAGTCTCACAAACTGCTGGGGTTATAGGTATCAGCTACCATGCCTGGCCGACCCCTCTCTTTTAAGAAAGTAATGTAAAAACCTGTACCATTTTTTAATGCAGTTGGGGTTGATTGGCCCTCCCATACCCATAAAGATTCCTCCCAGCATTCAAATTTTGTGGCTTCTAGTACCACAGAAAATTCAGGGCACTTTGACAAATTCAATTCAATTTCACCAACACTTGCTAAGACTGTTTGTAATTAGGTCGCCTACTTATTCATCACTGTCTTACTTGGCTACCAACAAGGAGCTTAGGGGTCAAAGCAAGATTCAGACATAGAGCTTTGTTTTGTCCAGACATATAAATCTGATGATCAATAAACCGATTAGTCTAAAAGGCATCCGTGATTCGAGGATCAATGCCCTTGAAGGTGGTAGGGGTTCTACAACTGAAAAAGATTTATGACAGTGAAAAAGGATTGCAGAAAGGTCTGAAAAGGTTTTATCTTGCTAATACACATACTCTTTTTATTATCCCATTTGATGGATTCTGAAATTATGGTTAGGAACCTAAGAGAAAGAATAGGACATCATAAACAAAGCCTCTTCTATAAGGCAGAACTGGGACTTCTAGTGATGGAATTCCTTTTTTCCTCTCATGATATTGCCTTTAGTGAAATGGGGACAACAAAGGCCAGTATTTATGCCCAAGATTGGACTACAGAGACCTTTAACTCAGCAAGAGCTCTGCCTAGGGCATGGTGAGCCCTGAACTTTGGGCCCAGCTCTGTACTGATGTGCTATACAATTTGGGGAAAATCTGTCCTCCTGGGCTTCAGGTTCTTTCTCTGAAAGGAAGAAAATTGAATATAAACCTCTAATGCCCTTCAAGCACAACATTCCAAAGTCTTAATTCTGTGACCTTTACACTTAGAATTACTCTCGGGATAGCCAGGCCTCCAGTGAGTGAATTGAGTTAAGTTCATTTGGGCAAAATCTATTTTTTTTTTTTTTTTTTTTTTTTTTTTTTTTGCCACAAGCTCAACAGATTCTTTTACTTAGATGCATAAAGTAATAAACCCTGATTTTTCTGTTACCCAAGCTCTGACTGTAGCTCCAGGGGAATTTTCAGAGTTCCTCAGGAGTAATGACAGGACCACCAGTATATTGTGGAAAGTCCTCCGCAATGATTTCCTCATAAAAGTCTTCTGAAATACTCAGAGACTTAGAATGTCAGCACTAGAAAGGTTCTCTGATACTGTGTAGTCCAAATGAGGAAATTCCCTTAGAGAGGAACTGACCTGACTTACTGACAGAGCCTAGGATGAGGGCCCCCACGCAGTTTCTGCAGCCTCATAAAGATACTCCTGACAAATGGTAACCTTGAGAACCACTGTGGTTAGAGGAAGTAGCAGCGAGTCTTAGATCCCCACAAGCATCTCTCTCTTTCAGCAGCTACTCATGATCTCATCTGTGAAGTGTTTATGCTGGTCTTAATGATCTCTGAGGTCTCTTCTAGCTCTGCAGTTCTGCTTCCCCCGTCTCAGACTGTCTGGACAAACAAGCAAGGCCTTCTTCTGCAGCATCATCTCTCTGGCTGCCAAGGGTGTTTTGGCTACTTATTTGTATTCTAAGTATGTGTGTCTCTCATTTCATAACACAAAGAAAGGGAAACATCCTCCAGCAAGGTTATTCTTAGATGTGGAAACCAAATTCTACTGCAGTCTCTTAGAGCTTTTTGATTTTCCTCAGAGGGATAGTCTCACCACTTTGTAATATGGCTGTGCTTGCAGCATAGAATAGGTAATGCAGCTTCCCCAGGGAAGATAAAAATTCCAGAGCATATTCTCCAGCAGTGTAAAGGAAAGTCTTCAGCATCGTTGGCCTGTTAACTTTAAAGAATCACAAAATCATGGCATTTTAAGCCATAACATTTTATAATCTTAGAATCCTAGAGTCTTGCATTCCAAGCTGGGACAGACCATAGTAGTCATAGTTTAGCTTTCGTCTTTCAGACCAGGCTCTGCCTGCATACCCTTAGGACAGGAGCTTACTGTCTCCCTATAAAGTGAGAGAGAAGAAATCACAATAGCTAATCTTTATAAAGTGCTTCTAATATGTCAGGTACTATTCTAAGTGCTTTTTATTTAACAATTAATGTATTTATCACAGGAATCCTATGAAGTAGATACCATTACTGTTCCCATATTACACACAAGGAGACTGATGTATCCTACAGCTATTAAGTCGCAGAGCTGGGGGTTTGGACCTAGGCAGTCAGTCTGTCTCCAGACTGCTCGTAACCACTTCTCTGTGCTGCAGAGCTTTCAGAAACAGGCATCTTCTGATTCAGGGGTGTCCTCTCCTGCTTAGAAAAGGGATGCTTTCAACTCCGCTAGGATTCTCTACACCTTGATATATTCCTTTTAAATCAGGGGTGAGCAAACATTCCTGTAAAGGGTCAAATAGTTAGGCTTTTCAAAAGGCAGAATGGTCTCTGTCAGTAACCACCATTGTAGCAGGAAAGTAGCCTTAGTCAATATGTAAATGAATGGTTGTAGATATGTTACAATAAAACTTTGTTAACCAAAACAAGCTGCCAATTACAAAAAGCATGGCTGAAATTTAACTGTTTTATTTATTTATTTTTTTTGAGATGGAGTCTCACTCTGTTGCCAGGCTGCTGGAGTGCAGTGGCGTGATCTCAGCTCACTGCAACCTCCTCCTCCTGAGTTCAAGTGATTTTTCTGCCTCAGCTTCCCAAGTAGCTGGGACTACAGGCATAAGCCACCAGGCCCAGCTAATTTTTTTGTATTTTTAATAGAGACGGGGTTTCACCATGTTGACCAGGATGGTCTTGATCGCTTGACCTTGTGATCTGCCCACCTCAGCCTCCCAAAGTGCTGGGATTACAGGCATGAGCCACCACACCTGGCTAATTGTTTTAAATATTTATGGTATAAGTAAAAGATTCTGTGTTAAAATTAATTTGGGAAATACAGTCTCGTACATATTCCCATCTTAGAGATTCACAGTTCACCTCCCACCTTTTGTTTTTTAAGAGACAGGGTCTTGCTCTGTCACTCAAGCTGGAGTACAGTGGTGTGATCAGGGCTCACTACACCTCAGACTCCTGGGCTCAAGGCATCCTCATGCCTCAGCCTTCCAAGTAGCTGGGGACTACACCAGCCACTTTGCCTGGCTACGTTTTTTTTTTTTTTTCTTGTTTTTTAGAGATGTAGTCTATGTTACCCAGGCTGGTGTTGAACCCTGGTCTCAAGTGCTTCTCCTGCCTTGGCCTCCCAAAGTGCTGGGATTATAGGTGACAGCCATGATATCCAGCCCACTCTATTGTTTTAAAAACTTCTCGGGGTCATGGAATTTTTAAAAAATCATGACTGTTTCCTTCTATTTTACATTGTGACTTCACAAACATATGGCACTACAGAACTCTCTTTCCTTTCCTTTGGCAAAAACAACTATTAAGATCCCTTGGAGGCCGGGCGTGGTGGCTCAAGCCTGTAATCCCAGCACTTTGGGAGGCCAAGGCAGGTGGATCACGAGGTCAAGAGATCGAGACCATCCTGGTCAACATGGTGAAACCCCGTCTCTACTAAAAATACAAAAAATTAGCTGGGCATGGTGGTGCGTGCCTGTAATCCCAGCTACTCAGGAGGCTGAGGCAGGAGAATTGCCTGAACCCAGGAGGCGGAGGTTGTGGTGAGCCGAGATCGCGCCATTGCACTCCAGCCTGGGTAACAAGAGCGAAACTCTGTCTCAAAAAAAAAAAAAAAAAAAAAAAGATCCCTTGGAATCTATAATCTGTTGTCTACATTTGGGAAATGTCTATCTCCAGTTTATCTATAAAACCCCTTTGTTTTATAGATAAGTAAATTGTGTCTCCATACACATCAGATGATTCCTTCTAGAAATCCGCAAAGCTAGTCTCCCTGTCTTCCCCTAGTGTCTGCTTCTCCTCCTATGACCGCATTTCAAGATAAGCTCCATAATCTAGAAACTTTGAGAAATCTGCTCTAGAATTCTCACTCATCTCAGTCCCGCTGCCAGTTAGTTTCTACTTTTTAACATACTTCCCTTTCTTTCATATGCCCTTTCCACTCTATCCTCGTCGCTACTTACTTCCCAGGCATATTAGACCACAAAACTATCGAAAAAACTATGTATCTGCAGGTGGAAAAATAAACAACATGAATCCAGGGAAAGCTCAACTTTTGTGGCAGCTGCTCAGCAGCTCTCATATCCTCTTGAGTCCTTGGGCAGGGGGATGCCAAGCCAAAGAGGTGTGATGTGGACTGAGAGAGATTTGTGACCATGTGGTAGCTTTCTTTTACTTGGGGTTAGGGTAGAAGAGACCCAGATCTTTAGACGCATGGAATTTTCATTTAGGAAGAGATCTTCATTGTTAGCCACCTGATTTTACAAAATAAGAAACTAAGGCCCAAAGACTTGACAGTTGTCACCAAAAATTAGGGGGAAAGCCAGAACTGAAGACTAGATGTCTTCTCTTCCAATAAAGCACTCCCTCCACTCTGCCCCCATTCTCTTCTTGTGTAATGGAAACAGCAGTTTGGAGCTGAAAGGGTCCTTGGCGAGAAATGTTATAGGTGAAAGAGCTGAAGCCCAGTGAGGTCAGCTAGACCTACCCAAGATCGAACCACAGAAAAGAAGCCACCTCAGCACCTCCCCAGCAGGGCTTCAAAGCATAGGTCCCCTGGTACTGTTCCTTCAACTTAGAAGAGTTTAGAGTCTTCAGGAGAAGTTATTAAAAAGACTTGCCTTTTCTGAGCCCAGGATCCCCTTGTGTAAAGTGCTAGGGTTGGGGTCACTTGATCACTTGGGTTCCATAGAATAATTCCATTTTGTGATTCTAAAAGGAGACAGTCTTGTCTCCTTTTATGACTCATGTTTCAAGTTTTTTTTTTTCTGTGAACAAGGGATCTATCACTCTTTTCCGGAGGATTCAAAGCAGCACAATTTATTTGCATGGCCAATTGTGAGCTTCTTGGGGCCTGACTTCTCAGTCTCAACTTTTTGTCCATCCTGGTTAGTGACAGACATGGCCCAGGTTCCAGGCTGATGTGAATCTTTGTGATCTCTTACTTCATGTCTTTTCAGGCAGAAGTAACCTTCCCCTAGACCCCAGGAGAGAAGGAAAGCCAACTCTGTAGAGCAAAGTTTTTCAGCATCCCAGAAGATGAGGATCTCTGGATGGTGTTTTGTATGGGGTTTCCACCTTCAAACTTGGTGGGGAGGAAGGGGAACATGATGGAGGGAAGTCCAAGAAGAGAGAGAGAGATAAGGAGAAAAAGAAATAGAGCAAGAGAGAGAGAGCAGCAAAAAGATACCCTGCATGCTGCATGAGAAGACAAAAGCAAGAAGATAGAGTAGCAATAAAGAGCAAGTGGGTTGAGGGCTTCCATCTCTCTGCACCTGCCCACTCCACACAGCTCCAAATCCCAGGCTGTCAGAGCGGAAAGGGACCATCTGGTTCTAGCCTCTTATTTTATAGATAAGAGCCCTGAGACCCAGAGAAAGAAAAGATGCCCAGAAACATGCAGCCCTGTGCACCAGGACTGAGGGAGCTGCCTCTGGGGTCAGGGCTTTCTGGGTGGAGCTCTGTTCTGTTTGTTCTCATCTCTGTTTCCAGCCTGGATTCAGCCCATCTTTAGTCTGGGGAGTCATGACTGGGACCTGCTGCCTTCTAGCAGTGCTCTTCTGCCAACTAACTGGAAGTCTCTCTTATTGCCTTGGTACAGGATATACTGCGGGGACACCGTACAAGGTCCCACCGACCCAGAGTAATACTGCTCCACCCCCCTACTCCCCATCACCCAACCCCTATCAGACGGCCATGTATCCAATCAGAAGTGCCTACCCCCAGCAGAATCTGTATGCCCAGGTAGGTATATGTCAAAGCCACCTCTTCTGCAGGTAGAGGAGCCTCCAGCCTGGCTGCAGTGTGGTGGGGCAGGGCGAGGAAGTGAGGGAAGGAGAGGAGAGTTTATGGCTCTCGCTAACCATCCCTGTTGTATGACTGAAGCAATATCCCTGCACTCTACTTACTCCCTCATTCCACCTCAGCCCCTAGAGGAGTGAGACATGAAGTCATTTAGATTAACAGAGCCCAGAACATCAGAGGACAAGGGCCCTCAGAGATTTTCTAGCTCAGCTCCTTTGTTAAACAAGTGGGGAAACTGAGACGCAAAGAGGGGAATGACGTGTCCAGGGTTACACCATGAACTATTAGTTGGTCAAGATGAGACCCCAATGTTTTGATCTTTTCTAACCCCCACATCTGCCCTTCCTTGATCAAGTCTGTGAACTGAGTGGGGAGGAGGAAAGTACACAGGCTCTGTCACTAGTGTCCTCTGTGACCTTGGGCAAGTTACTCTTTCTGTGCCTGATGGCCCTTTCTGGGCTCCTTCAGCTGGAGGACATATGCTTTCCAGGATTGGTATGAGACAGGGGACCATATGGGGCTCTAGCACATCCATGACACATTCTTCTGGAGTGACAACTCTATAGGAAGTGTATGTGGTGAGGAGAATACTTTTTTTAGTTTAAAAAAACAGCTGTATTTTAAAGTAGAAGGCAAAACTTAAGAGGCTTGAGATATTTTTCTCATTTAGTAGAAACATTTGAAGATTTCTGAATTACGATGATCTCAGGGACTCCAGTTTACTCCCCCTGGAAGTCAGTGGGCCAGTGGATTGTGGCAGCAGGAAGCAGCCATGTGATTCAGGAATTGGGAGTCACCTTGGACCACTGTCTTCATCCTTACCTTTTCTACCTAAAGGGAAATAGCTAATAAGAGACATCTTCAGAAATGCTATCCATTTATGCCTTTTTTTGTTGTTTTTTTTTTTTGGGGTGTGGAGACAAGTCTTGCCGTCGCTCAGACTGGAGTGCAGTGGCACAAGATCGGCTTGCTGCAACTTTCACCTCCCAAGTTCAAGCCATTCTCCTGCCTCAGCCTCCCAGGTAGCTGGGACTACAGGCATGCGTCACCACGCCTAGCTCATTTTTTCTTAATTTTTTTTAATTTTTAGTAGAGATGGGGTTTCACCATGCTGGCCAGGCTGCTCTTGAACTCCTGAGCTCAAGTGATCCACCTGCCTTGGCCTCCCAAAGTGCTGGGATTGCAGACATGAGCCACTGCGCCCAGTCGCCATTTTTTTTTCCAACATAAAATGCTAGCACTTGTACCAGTATGATACTAATTATCCTTCAGAGTACAGGCAGTGCTCGACTTACGACCGCAGTCGGGACCATGGAGCGGTCGTAACACGATTTGGTCGTAAGTTGAGTAGGCTATGTGTACAGTTGAAATGGTGCACGCGGAGATGGTAGTGCTGCCAGAAGATGGTCTGCACTGTCGTACGCCCAGCTGGGCAACGTTTGCCTGCCAGACGCGGAGCAGTCGTGGCTAGCGATTGTGGTCGTAAAGTCGAATGGTCGTAAGTTGCATAGGTTGTAAGTTGATCGATACCTGTATGTGTTCTAGAGTTTACCAGCCCTGTTCACATGCTTGGTAACAGTAAGCATGCGATTGTTGTTCCTACCTTTAAATAGGCAGTTTGTAAAAGTTCGTTGCAATAAGATAAAACATGTTAAAATGCTAAACTGGGGTTAAGGGAGTAGAGCTCTTATCCCATTAGATCATCATAGCAGCCTTAGGGGCAAGGCAGGACAGAATTAGAGCCTTATTTTTCTAGCAGGGAAGTGCAGCTACTCATGTACCCTTGACCGAAGACTGGTCCTCCTCTATCAGGGGATGGTTGTCCTCTTCAATAGAGCATGCAGCTTCGGGAGGGACACACATGGAGCGGTGAGGGAGGAAGGGGACACCCACCTAGCCAGCCAGATCAGCTGAATCAACCCTGGCGATCAATAGGGTGACAGATGTTGCAGCCAGATCACCCTCACATCCTAGAGGCTTATTTTTCAAATAAGCCCAGCACTGCACTGACCAGAGTCCCATAGTAAGACAAGTAGACCCCCAGCTGGGGTCCAGACTTTGTGTCTTTCAGCCCATGCTGTTCTCTCCACATCCCACCCACCTCTCCAAATGCTTATGTGACCTCAGCCTCTTTCCCCCAGGGAGCCTACTACACACAGCCGGTGTACGCTGCCCAGCCTCATGTCATCCACCACACCACAGTCGTCCAGCCTAACAGCATTCCCTCTGCTATCTACCCGGCTCCTGTTGCTGCCCCCAGGACCAACGGCGTGGCCATGGGCATGGTGGCAGGCACCACCATGGCAATGTCAGCAGGTGAGGCATGGTTGCAGGCACCACCATGGCAATGTCAGCAGGTGAGGCATGGTTGCAGGCACCACCATGGCAATGTCAGCAGCAGCGTCTGCATCACTGTCCATCCCTTTCCTCTAGGAACTCACAACGGAGCGGAGAACACAGTCATGGAATCGACTGCAGCATAGCACAAGAGATCCTGTGCCCTGGGGTGGGTGGGGGGCATGGGAACCCAGAGGAAGGAGCCTCTAAGTTTGTCTACAGGGATGAGGAAGATTCCACCAAGAAGGGCATATCAAGCTAGGCCTTAAAGGGTGAACGCAGGCTAACTAGAGAATTGAAAGAGGGAAGGGTGGTGCAGAAAGAACATGGTGATGGCATGTTCATAGAATGGAGCAATGGAGCCAAAGCCCTTAGGAAATAGGAGCTGGGAGTTGGAAGGTGGCTGGATCGCTGGCAAGGGTAAGATGGTGGAAAGTCTTGAATACCTTGTGGTACCTCTATTGCGCACAAAGGGGGTCAAGCAGGGCAGGCAGGGACACCGTTAAGTTTAAACATTAAGCAGAGTGGAGGCAGGATTAGAAGGGGTGAGGTGGAAGCAAGTAGGTCAGTGAGGAGGCTGTCAGTGCAGTTTAGGGAAGAGAGATACTAGCACTCCAGTAACAGCAGGGGCTCCAAAAAAGAGAACACAGGTACAATATTCTTTATTAGGCAGGAGCTTAAGGACCTGTGCAATAATTATAATAATTTTGAGGGATGAGAGAAGCAGAAGTCCCCAAGGACCTTTTTTTCCTGAGATAGAGTCTTGCTTTGTCACCCAGGCTGGAGTGCAGTGACACGATCTTGGTCCACTGGAGTCTTGATCTGCTGGGCTAAAGTGATCTTCCCACCTCAGCCTTCCAAGTAGCTGGGGCCACAGGCGTGTGCCACCACAGCCAGCTAATTTTTGTGGTGTTTTTTTTTTTGTTTTTTTGTAGAGGTGGGGTTTCACCATGTTGCCCAGGCTGGTCTTGAACTCTTGGGCTTAAGGGATCCACCCATCTCTGACTCCCAAAGTACTGTACTAGGGTAACAGGCATAAGCCATTATGCATGGCCTAGAGACCCAACTTTTAAAGAACCAGCTAGGCTACCATCTGAGATAAGAAAGTACAAGGGGCAGGGTGAGCATTTGGATTTTATTCTGCCCCTAATGTAACGGTATGGTTGAGGCCTCTTACTCCCCAGATCAAGTCAGCAAACTGTTGGATATCTACTTGGTGCCAACCTTGTTGTTCGGGTCCTGGGAACCAGATATCAATAGATCAGACCAGAACCCTGTCCTTAAGGAACACCCAGGTTAGTGTGGGAAATACAAGACATCACAGTTACTGTTCAGTGTGATTGTGCAGTAAGACACACAAAAGTAAAAGAAAGGCCAGGCATGGTGGCTCACGCCTGTAATCCCAGCACTTTGGGAGGCTGAGGCCGGTGGATCACTTGAGGTCAGGAGTTTGAAACAGCCTGGCCAACATGGTGAAAACCCGTCTCTACTAAAGATACAAAAATTAGCTGGGCATGGTGATGCACACCTGTAATTCCAGCTGCTCAGGAGGCTGAGGTGGGAGAATCGCTTGAACTCAGGAGGCAGAGGCTGTGGTGAGCTGAGATCACACCATTGCACTCTAGCCTGGGCAACAGGGCGAGGTTCCATCTCAAAAAGAAAAAGGGTGGGGAAGGAGGACTTGGAATAGTGATTCTGTCCTCAAGCATCAGAAAAGATTGCCTTAAGGAGGTGAAGCCTGGTGAGGTGGAGAAGGGCAGAGAGCAGTGCATCAGGAAGGTGAGGGAGATGGGGGATTCAGGCAGAGGGAGCAGTCATGCCAGACTGTAGCTTCATCCTCTTCATTCCTGTGTCTGGTGCAGCCTCATCAGGTTACTCTTCTCTCTCTCTGGATGCTCAGGTACCCTGCTGACTACACCCCAGCACACAGCGATTGGGGCACACCCTGTCTCCATGCCAACATACAGGGCCCAAGGAACCCCTGCGTACAGCTACGTGCCCCCACACTGGTAAAGCCTGCAGCCCATCCAAGTGAGTTCAGCCAGGGTGAGAGAGGTGGGAGGGGGATACATACAGGAACTGCTTCAAAGCCCCTGGCTTGGGTCTGGAGCACAGGTGTCAGCTGGGGCAGGTAACAGTTGTCAAGTTACCTTGCTTTCCTGCTCCAGGGTCCATAATATCACTCTTAATAGCTATCACTTCTGTTGACTGCTTGTTGAAATCCAAGTAACAACAGAAATAATAATTGCTATCCCTTTGCTTATGTTATCTCATAATCCTTACAGTTGCTCTGTGAAATAAGGATCATTAGCTCTATTTTATAGATAACTATGTAGTTCAGTATCACTTAGCCAACAAAAATTAAGCTACGGCTTCAATGTCAGTTCTGTACCAAATTCTGTGCCATTTACCTCATGGTCTTCAGACTTCTTTTAACTATGGGCCCCATTCTTCAAATGAAATCTTACCTAAATCATATGTTAGAGCTTTGGTTGGAGCCAGTTGGAGGCTTTGGGCTGACCCAGACCCCTGGCTTCCTTAGTCACCTCAGCAGCTCATGAGGCAGTGACGGTGAACCATAGGGCTCCAGGGATGTCCCTTTGAAATCCTCTGGCCCACCACATCATCTGTCCTCCCCCTACCTTCTCCAGGGCTCTTGGCACCAGAGCACAACAAGTTCCACTGGTAGGAAGTGGGCAGTTTCACTAGGAAGGCACAGAGGCCTCATGAAGGGCTCCCAAGTTGAGGGAGGGGGCCCAGAGGTTTCCTAAAGTGGCCTCTGGACTATCACAGTTTCTTTCCCCTTTCCCTCCACAGATCTGGAGTCACACATTGTATGCAACTACTCAAGTCTTACACCGGTGCTGGAGCAGTTCCCTAGCAGCACCACCTCTATTTGCAAGAGACAACGGAAGTGCAAGGGTCACTTTATGCATCTTTAATGGTTTTGATTTTGATTTTTGGTTTCTGTAAAAGCTGCTTTTTCTAATCTCCTGCCTCTCCGCCCTGTCCCCCTCTTAGCCACTGCCCTTCCAGCTCTACCCCCTTCCTCTTACCTGACCAGGTCATGTCCTCTACGCTCTTCCCTGAATGTCCTGTCCCTAGGGATCCCGGTCTAGAGGCAAGCAGAGTAGGGTTTATTGCAGTGGTTCATCTGAAGGCTTGATTCCATTTGAAGAGCATAAACAGATATGGTCTGGGGTAGGAATTCAGAGCTGTTGAGGAGGCTACATCTCTGAGGGAGTGTTCTTGTTTTTTCTTAAGATTAGTTCAAGACATTCCCATGTCCTGAACACAAAGGAAATGTCTCCTGAGAACCATTGTAACAGACCAAGAACAAAACCACCTGACTATGTAGGAGTGTTATTAGCAGCTTAATAGCCCAGGCTGAGAATCTGGGGAAAAAAGTCTTTAGAATTTGGGGGAGGGTGGGGGGGAGGGAGGGCACTGTGGGAAAGGAGAGGGAAGGGAGGAGCGGTGCTTGCCTCATGGCTTTGGTTTGAAAGGTCTCTAGCCAAAGCATCTGGCCCTGGACCTTCTGATTTGCACAGTGATGTTCACTGACCTGGCACTTCCTCAAAAGGTGATTTTGACCTCAGACCTGCCAAGCAGCGGCAGGGTGGTGGGATCCCAGCATCCTGGGGCCTTGGAAGGCCAGATGCCCTGTGTAATCCAGACTTCGGCCTCTGAGCTGTCATGGACCCACTCTGATGAGGAGCTTCCTCCTGATCGGAGTGAAAACCTAGGGCATTTCTCTCCCTTTCCTTTTGCCCTTCCCAGTGCCAGGACTCACCTGTCTGTCCGTAGAGCTTGCAGGCAGGCCAAGCTCTTGGTTACCTGTGCCATTCATGGCCCAAGTGAAGGAACCACATTCCAGGTGGGTGCTGGCAGCTCTGAAGGTCAGGATAGTGAAGGAAAAGCAATAGCAATAAACATTTCATAGACTCATGGAACTGAAGGGACCTTAGCAATCATCTCATTCATTCCCCTATTTGGCAGATGAGGAAACTGAGGCCCAGAGAAGAAGAAAGAACTTCCCTAGACCTCACAGTAAATTAGCATTAAATGCAGCCTTCCTACCTAGTGGCATTGCCTATGAAAATTTACCTAGGGATGGATTGGCTTGGTTTTTGTAAAAATTAAGTCGGCAACGCCCATACCTGGTAAGCTCTGGAATGGTCTCTGGGCTCCTATTTCTGCTCTTTTCCTCCATGGACTCCAAAGGCAGGGGTTAAAGACTGGGCAGAGGCCACACAGAGGCAAATGGCAGGAACAGAAATTGCAAATGAAGAAATAGCACTTGGAAATTCTGTGAAGACATCTGGAACTTTCATCCTGTACCTGACTCTACCTGCAGGAGAAGGAGCAGGTGGGCTGTCTGAAAAGGAGAGGCCCTGCTTTTAGGACAGTAGCTCCTCATCCTGAGAGGAGAGGGAAAGGAAGAGAGAAGAGAATGGGAATCATCAGGAGAGAAGGACAAGAAGAATGAGGCCCAGGAGACAGGCTCATCTGGGAGAAGAGGGATCTCTGGGACAAGGAGGTCCCTGCTAGTCTCAGCCAGGAGCCTGGATTGCTCAGCAGCAGCCTCTGGCACCCAGCACTTGGCTGGGCCAGCAGCCCCTCTGGGGGTGGGGCATGAATATTTTACTGTATAAAATGGGATCATTGACAACATTTGGGACTTTAAAAAACCTTTTTCATTTTAAATTTTTGCAAACTTGGACATACCCTTACCCCTACCTCCCATGTCTCCCTAAGGGAGGGAAAAATCAGGAAACCCTTGGGTTGGAAGCTTAGAAGCTGTCTAGCCATTCCCAGAAGGGCAAAGCCCATCAGCATCCTTGGCCTAGAGCCAGGAGTTTGGGGGCCTACCTTCCTGGGCTTCCAAGGAGCTTTAGGACCAGTAAGAAAAAAATCCAGCTGTTCTGAATTGTCTGTTCTGGGGTGCTGATGAGGTTTCACTTTAAAATAACAAAGTTTTCCAGTGTTAATTCACTTTTTGCAGATACTCCTCCTACCCGCTTTGGTTTTGTAAAGGTGGGAGAAGGTTGGTCTAGATTATGTCATACATGTTTTAAAAATGCCAAAATAATAATGATAATAGAAACCTTTGCATTTGTCAGGTGCATCATAGAGTTCAAAGCACTTCACAGCCTTTCACGTACTCACCCTGACAGGGTCAGAGTTATTATAGTCAATTGACAAATGAGGAAACAGGTTATGGAAGGAAACAGGCCCATAGTCAGCAGAATGTTGGTATCTGCCAGGCTTCCCCGAACCCTGCTGCCTCTCTGTGGGCTGGGGTGGAACCACAGACAGGAGAAAGGAAGAGGAGGAGACCTAGGAATGACCGTGTAACTTTTTTTCTTGCTATACCAGTAAGTAAAACTAACAACTGGACCTCACAATTCATGGAGCAGTTTAACATACATTATTCTGGCTTAACCCCATGAGATAGAGGTTATTTCTCCAATTTGATCCTTAAGGAAATCAGGGCTTGGAAAAGTGAAGTGACTTGCTAATAAGTGACACAGCCGCTTGAATCCCAGCCTGTCTGCTATCTTATTCCCCTCCATCTGATCCCCACTAGGCTCACGTACTGAAGCATCTATGCTCTGTGCCCCATCTTCACCCCTACCATGTAATTCAAGAGCAAAGGGAGGCCCTAAGGTGAAAATAGGCACTGAAAGGCTGTGGTCTGGAAGAGCCCAGATCCAGCACCCCTTTTTCAGTATGAGCCCCAGTTCAGCCAGCCTCAGCCCTCTTGCTGTGATGGAGATCCACAAGCCTGGCCAAGCTTGGGGAGTCACTGCAAAGGGACTGAGCCCAGGAGAGGGGACAGTCATGTGCCTCTGGTAGGATAGGCACAGTTACTGGTAAGGTCACAGAGATCTGGTGGGCGGTACCTTAGGTATCCTCCAGAGATTCTAGATGGCATGGTAGTCAAGCTAGACAAAAAGCTGGAAGGGCCCTTCCATTGAAGGCAGGCAGGCAAGAAAGAAGACAAGGGATGTGCCCACATGACAGCTACAGCACTGGCACCAGCACGCAAACCCCTTTCTCCTTCTCACGTCACTGCCTCTCCCCAGGTGCAACACGTGTGGCCAGGATCAGGGGTACAGATGCTTCCAGTCACCAGCCAACCCTTTTGAATTCCTCTACTTCTACCTGATACTGTCTCCTCACTGGCCTGGGGCCAAGAAAGTTTGAGTATGGGAGCTGGATTGCCTGCAAATAGTGAAAGCCTGAAACAATCATTTGCCATGTTTTGAAAAAAAAAAAAATGCATATTTAATTTCTTCCTCATGAGATAGGATAGTTGCTGTTCTTTCTTACCTGGCAAATGACCCTAAAATGTATATCCCCTTTCCTGAATATTTAGTAGGGACACACCTGTCCGAAGCTTTTTTTGGTATGCAAAGTACTTTGGCATTGGTTGCCAAAGTCCCCCATTTTATAGATGAAGAAAACTAAGGCTCAGAAGGCTTGAGACTTGCTAAAGGGTTACACAGCTTGTGATTCTTCAGAACCTCTGCTCTTTCTGCTGCCACCTGCTGGGTGTCTTGGCAAGCATGAAGGGAGGGACTACCTATACTTACGGAGACCAGGGAAGCCCAGTCCTCTGAGCTGCACAGATTTGTATGAACTGCTTTGGGCCAGGACCTGTAATGGGTCCTGGGGATACAGAGGCACATCTAGCTGGCAGCACAAAAACAACAAGAATTTGCAATTAAAGGCCTATCTTGGGCAAAACACTTTGGGGGGGGGGTCACAGTGCCCAGGACTGAAGACATGTTCAAGGACAGCTTGAGGCATCTTCCTATTGAGAGGCCCATGTCCTTGGTAAGCCTGTACACCTGCCTTCCTAGCCTGAGAGCCTGCCCACTATCCAGACCCAGTGATTTGGTACTTCAAGCGGATGTGGTGCAGATTTGGCCAAAAGCATGTGGACTGAGGTCCCTCGGCTTGCTTTTCCCAGGGGTGGGGAACAGAATCAGACTGAGCATCCTTACCCCTGGCCACCCAAATTGTTCCAAATTTGAGGTACCTCACTCCCAGAGATCTGGAGGTCCTTTGAAGGCCTTGTTTTGTTCTGATGGGCTTCAGAAAGGAATCACCTGAAGTAGAAAAGTAGGACAAGTTTCGGCTCATCATACAGATACGACTCATCCATGTTTCCAGTGAGGCACTGGCTAAGCCAGCCCCGGAGCCTCCATATCCAATTCCTCAGCTCTGTTCTGTGGCCAGAGGCAATGAGCCCCATTCTGGGCCCTGTGAGCTTTCTATCAGCATCTATATCATAATTCTTCCTCAATTGCAGTTAAGTGAAAATATACGGAAGTCTGCTTTTCTATCCTATATTCTCCCAAATCACTACTGGCTGTGCAGCCCCAGCTGCTTGCCAAGCTTGGGAATCTGGAGGGCACAGTAGTAGAGTGGGCCAGTGGGACCACCCACAGAGCTGAAGAAACACGGCCAGACTAACTGATGGGATTCCACACCAGAGCCTCTGAGCACACAGGCAGGCATGCCAGGTGGGCTGCAGGGTTTGTCCCTTACTCATCCATCTGCCCCTCTCCTAGAAAACTCCTTGTTTCTTAAATTAAGCATATATAGTTCTAGGGCCCAGCCTTCAAAATTCCTGGCAGGCCAGCTTCAACACTCCATGGCCAGCCAGACTGGGGTCCCAGTCCCTCAGTTTGTCCAGTGGATGTCTTCTGTTGTGCATGCTGTTGAGCCCAACGCAAAGGCCAACTGAGGCACACAGGAGTTGGGACTGGCTGCCACAAAGCCAGAAAGGGAAAAGACAGCACTTGTTTCCCTGTGGCCACATGGATAGTCCCTGTATATCCTTGCTGTGGTAGTGAGGTCCTCTACCCATTTCCTTCCTGAAGAGAACATACATAACGGCTTTACAGAGAAGTACCAGCCCATAGGAATCAAATGGGTGAAATCAGCTTTGGGCCTCACCCCAGCAAGACCAGCATCTCCAGACCCCAGCCTTTCTCCTCAGGCCTAAAAGTCAAGAGACAAAGAGTGGGGACGGTCCCAGAGACGACCTCCTGGGGTCAGCCAGATAGTCTGGATCTATGGTGTGACTCAAGCTCCTCCTTACCCAGGGAGAGGCAAGGCCAGGCCTCTAGCAACTTGGAGTTGTCTGTAATGATCTCTAAAGGCCCAAGGGCCTGTCCCCATCCTGACTTCAAGGCATCTGCTTCCCTGTTTCATATCACATGACAGAGAAACCTGTTCTCATGGCATGTAACATCCCTGTGAAGAGAGCGTTGTATATGATTTTGTATTTTTTAATTCATTTTAATCTACAGGTTGGAATCTAATTTTTAAATTTTATTGGAACTCACATTTTAAAAATAAAACATTTAAAATAATAATAATAAACCTTTCACCAGTGTCTTCCAAGTAGTTTGATCAAAGAATTTATAGGTGTTTTCAAAACACACTCGAGTGTAAAGATTGGAAAGCCCCATGGCCTCGCTTGTGTGTCTGAAGTGTAAATCTGGTTTTGTTTTGTTGTTTTGGATTCTTTTGGGTTTTTATGTTTTGAAGATCAGACAGTGATCACTCTGAAAGATTGAAGCCAAGAATTTGTAACTATGATATTTACTGTAAGCTGTAGAACACTCAATAACTATTAAAAAAAAAAAAAGTTTCCCAAAAAAAAGTCTTAGGTGACTAGACTGAGTGGTTCTTGGGGAGGGAGGCACAGAGGACTGTCCCCGGGCCAGTGAGTCCCTTGGGCTTCTCCCCAAGTTGATGCTAAACTTGTTCTCAGCGTCAAGAAATACCTAAGGTGCATCTCATAGCTGATCTGACAGGGGTCTGCCCTAAGGGTGGACCTACTTTACAGCTGCTGGGGAGCTATGAAGTGGCAACTTCAGCACCTACCCTAAGTGTGTGATGTGGGAGCACAGTGAGCCCATTCAGAGTTGAAACCAATTGAGCTGTCTGCTCAATAAAGCTGACATCTATTGAGTGCCTACTGTGTGGCTAGTGCCTGCTGCTCACATTTTAAGGCATACCGTCCTCACAGCACATGTGAGGTGAGCCCTGTTAGCGCTATCTTATATGGGCAAGCTGAGGAGGGTAAGTATGTTGGCTGACAGTACAGAGCTGGTGAGGGGCAGTCAGAACTCACATTTGGCACTTGGTCTGGCTCCACAGCCCACGCACCAAGCCCCATGTTCTGCCCATCAAGGCCTGAGGTTTTTTTTTTTAAGACAGTCTCTCACGAGGCTGCAGTGCAGTGGCACAATCTCAGCTCTCTGCAACCTCCAGCTCGTGAGCTCAAGTGATCCTCCCACCTCAGCCTCCTATGTAGCTGGGACTACAAGTACACACCACTAATCCCAGCTAATTTTTACTTTTTTTTTTTTTTTTTTTTTTTTTTTTTTTTTTTTTTGTAGAGATGGGGTTTTACCATTTTGCCCAAGCTGGTTTTGAACTCTTGGGCTCAAGTGATCTGCCTGCTTCAGCCTCCCAAAGGGCTGAGATTACAGGTGTGAGCCACTGAACCCGGCCCCCTGAGCTTTCTTAAAAGGTAGATTTGTCAGATGGGAGACGAAGGGGGACTTCGTGGTTTGTGATTACAGAAAAAGGACAGTTGAGGGAGGCTCTGGTGCCTTCATCCAAAGCAGTCCCATCAAGTGCTGTCAGTTTTGCCCTGTAAACACTGAACCTCATCTCCCCCTTGTGGGTGAAGCCACTGCCTACCTAGTCCAGGCCCAGGCTTCTCTCCCTGGATTATCAGTCTACCATTCCTTCCCAGGGCCAGGCCCGTACAGCTCATGCTCCATGTGCCCGTAGTTATACCTCTAAGAACTTAGCCTCCTCACCCAGAGAGGAAACAAGCCAAAAAGCTTGGCTTACACAGCAACTGGAATGAAAACTTAGACCTCCTTACTCTCTAATGCTTCTCACCAGATCTCATCCTGTACCTCCACCCAGCCTCCCTTACGGTCCTTATCCCAATATGAAACCCACCTACAGTGAGTGTCCAAGGGGACAGCTCTGGCCACAAGCATTGTTGAGGCTGTGTCACCATAGTCAGTTTCTCTGGTGCAGGAAGGGATTTTCTCCTAGAGGCTCAGCTCCAGGCCACAGTGGCAGAGCTGAGGGCCAGAAGCAGGAAGGGAGGTAGAGACATGGGTCCCAGCCCCTAACATTCCGGCTCATGGGGAAAAGGGATGAGCACAGAGGTCAAGCTCAGAACTCTCCCCCTCACTGGTCAGCCCAGAACCCCACCCTGTCCTCCAGCTCCCACCTCTGCGTGGGCCTCTTGAGCTCAAGAGCTGATAAAACATCAAGCATTTAGATGGAGCAAGCCAGAAAAGCTTCCAGGTGAGGGTGTGGGCCCTGAAGACCAATGGCATCAGGCACATTCCTACTTGAGGCCTCAGCTCTTCATCCCACTCTTGCAAGCTAGCCTCAACACCCCAAGGGACAGGTGAAGAAACAAAGACCAGGGCCACACCTTTCAAGCAAGCAGAAAATTTGGGAGGGGGTCTGGAGAAGAGCACAGCACTTATAAGCCCTGGCCTGGAAGCCTGTAGTCAGCCTCAGCACCCTGGCTTGCATGTATATGTGCTTCTCCCCAGGAGCGACGGGCAGGGTGCAGAGAGGGCATCCAAACCCCACAGCCCAGTGGGAAGGAGGCCGAGGGCCAGCCAAGGTGGAGAAGACAGACCGAGGTGGAGCTCAACAGCCAGTAAACAGGGACTCCAAATACACTCTGGTAGCCACAGGAAATACTTCCTTGGGTACACTGGTGATGCCTGCTAGTCCCCTACAACGCACACCCTGTCCTACACTTTGGCATCCTTTGCTGTTCCAGAACATCCCTCCTGATGCCCAGTCTCTGTCTCCTTCCCCTCTCCTGGTCCAGGTGAAACATCTAGATCCTCAGAGGTGTCCCTCTCCCCTTCCTGCCCACTTGAGAAGCCCCAGAGAGAGAAGCCTGCACCCTAGGTACCCAAGGAGAGGTTGAATCTCAAAGCACATATGCCCAGGGCAGTTTGCTCTGCAGCCACTAGGCCAGGCCCCCAACTTGGCTTCTGCTCAGGAGAAAGGCCTCTGCCCTCTGTGAAGCCAAGCCTCCTGCAGCCCCAGCATGGCCTGTGTAGGCCTGGGACCCCCAGAAGCTGGTCTTCCCCACACCTCCCTAGGTGCCAACAAGTGTCACTCTTGTTCTTCAGCTTCTCCTGGAGGCCATTCGTTTAAAAGTGTCCCTCTATTCCATCTTTAAACAACACACCAAACACCAATAAAACCCCAAATTAACTAAAAACTAAAACCCAAAGCATAAGGCCCCACCCAGCCATGGCCTGTGCCAGGTTTCGGCAGGGAGCCGTCCCCCTCAATCCACCTGCACCTGGCCCTGGTCTCACCCCTCCCTTGAGACAAATCCCATCAAGTTCCTGTGCCACTCACCAGGGCACAGAGCAGTCCTCACCTCCAGCAGCACCTGGCCTTGCAGCCTACCCTGCTCCCATCCCCTCCCCTGGCTGCCAGGACACTGCCCTCCCTGGTTTCCTTCCTGCCTCCCTGGCAGTGCCTTCGCTGCAGGGCCTGCACAGGGCAGCTGTGGGGTGGCCATGCCGGGGCAGCAGGAGCCCAGGCATCTGTCCCTCGCCCTATCCCCAAGCCATGTTTCCTCCTAGCCCAGTCCTGGTCAAAACACCCACCTGAGTGCCTGTAGGCCTTCTTGTCTCCAGGTCTGTCTCCTGAGAGCTCCGGGCCTTCGCATCTAGCTGCTGCAGGACGTCCTCCATGGCTGTGTCACGGGTGCCCCCAGGACTGCGCCTGTTGTCCCACCCAGCTGGCCCTAAGCTCCTGACCCATTTCCCATTACCAAACCCTAGCACAGGGGTGTCCAATCTTTTGGTTTCTCTGGGCCACAGTGCAAGAATTGTCTTGGGCTACACATTAACACTAACAATAGCTGATGAACTAAAAAGGAAAAGCAAAAACGATCTCATAATGTTTTAAGAAAGTTTATGAATTTGTGTTAGGCCCCATTCAAAGCCGTCCTGGGCCACATGCGGCCTGTGGGCCAGGTTGGAAGCTTGCCCTAGGAATCTTCGATGGAGAGACTCAATCTCTTGCCTGGGTGTGGCGCCTGCTCCTGTGGCTCCTCTCCTCTCCACACATGCCAAGCAAGAGCTGAATGCTTCAGAGGCTACCCAGCATCTTGGCCGAAGGCCGAGGTGCCCACCATGTGTTGGTGCCGGGCTTTGCTATGCTGTCCCTCTCAGTGGAACACATTCCCTGGCCCGCGTGTCTTCCTCACGCTCCTTTACCTCCGGGGCTCCACACAGCTGCACTCCCTCGGTGCTGCACTGGCCATGTGGCTACAGAGCCCTTGAAATATTCGAGTTCCAAACAAGATGTGTCAGATACACTCCAGATTTCAAGGCAAAAGCAAAAAATCTCATTCACAATTTTTATACTGATTTTATATTGAAATGAAAATATTTTGGATAGACTGGGTTAAATATATTATAAAATTAAACTCACCTGCTTTTTTACTTTTTAAAATATGGTTGTCAGAAAATTTAAAGTCACATATGTGGCTCATGCTATTTCTGTGGGACAGCCCTGCCTATAGCTAGGAGCTTTGGTGAGAACCAGATGAGGTGAGGGGTCTCTCTGGGTCTGCTTTCCCCGCTGCCGAAGCACGGGAGCTGCGAGGGGAAGGCAGCTGGTCACGGTGCCCAACACAGGAGAGGGCTCGACAGGCACACGTGGAACAGGTGGATAAGCTGGGAAGGGCTGAGAAAAGGAGCTCCTCATGACAGCACTTTCTCACCTTTTATTATTCAACAAATGGAAGGGGATGGAGACACAAGGATAGGGCAACAGCGAGTTTCAATAAATAAGAGAAACAGGATGGACAAGCAGTGGGCCCACGCCTGCACGGCCCCACATAAATAAAATAACTAGGTTGCTGAGCCACAGTGGAGGTCGGGGCTGGGCCCAGCAGCCACCTGCACTGCCCAGAGGCACTGGCACCACAGGGACGCAGAAACCACGGAGGCCTGAGGTGCGCTCCAGCCCCGCCAACACTCTTCTCCCTAAAGCTCCTGAGACCTCGGGGCTGGTAGGCAGGCGGGAGCTCTGCACCACAGTCCTGCCGGGATCAAGTCTGTTTTTTTGGTTTCATTAAAAACAGCTGGGTCAGAGGGGAACAGGCACATGCACTAAGCCCCTTCCTTAGGGAGAGCCGTGGATGGACAGCCCCGTGGGGCCTTGAAGGCGGAGGCCCTGGAAGCAGCAAAAATGGGGCTGAATAAAGCTACTCACAGGAAGGGTGGTAGAGCCCAGCTCCCCAGTCCCCACAACCCAGCCTAGAACCTACAAAGAGCTGGAGAGGCCCTGGATACTGACACATCTCTCCCCACTTCACAGTCAGAAAAATGGACCTGACAATGGCCCCAGATGGCCCAAGATTAGAACCCAGGGACTCATCCCCCATCCCAGGACTTTTTGTTGCCCCTTCCCTTTACAGTACCTGCCGGAAGAGGAGGGGGAGGCACATCTGCTCTAGGGCCCTGGACGGAGGCAAGGGCATGGCTAATTCCCAAGGCATGTGGCCAGGGGTGACGGGCATGGCCCCTCCCCTCTGCCAAGCCCAGCCCTCTGGTGATACAGAGAATCCCATGAGCTCCTAGGATCTAGCCAGGGAAGGCACAGGGGCCAGGGCATCCTGCAGGGGAACAACCTGGCAGCAGGGTTGGGGGCGGGGCTCAGTCCGCTGCTGCACATAGTGCCCGCCAGCCACCTGCCTCCTCGCTGGGCCAGACACTCCCACCTCCAGGCCTTGGTCTTTGCTGTCTTGTCTGCTGGGCCATTGCTTCTTGGTCCTCACAGTCCTAGCTGCAGCTCCACCTCCTCTAGGAAGCCTTTGGAACCTCCCAGGGCAGGGCTGCAGTGTCCTCAGACTAGACCGCCCATCAGATGACCAGGTTGCTCTCACTTAGCCGGACCACATAGCGGTTCTCCTGGTGGACAGGGGTGAGGGGTCAAAGCTGAGTCAGGGGCTGGCTTTCAGCTCAGGAACATGGCCCCTGCCCAGGGCCCACAGCACTTCCACCCCTGCCCCATCTTTGGTCAGGGTTGGCCCAGCTACCAACAGATATCTTTCTCTTTGGCCCTCACCTCAGCCTTGTTCTCTGCTGGGGGCTTCAGCCACTTAGTATGGCTTCCGCCACTTCCTAGCAGTGCCTGCTGCTCAGCAGGGAGGCCAGGCTGCGGGGAGTCAGGAAGATCACCCCCCGAAGGTCCAGCCTCCGTGATGGTCTTCACCTCAGACACCATTGAACTTGTCCGCTGCTCAGGAATTCGAGCCACACGGAACCTGTGAGGAGAGTGGGGCAATCATCCCCATTAGCGGGGATCCCCAGGCACAGAGAAGGCAGCACCTGCCCAGGGTCACACAGGAAGTTCATGGACTAAAGCCTGAGCCTGAGAGGCCCGAGTGCACAGGGGCCAAGACGCTGCCCGAGGGACACAAGGGCTCCACGTGAGACAACACACAACTGGGAAGTCCTGACCTCTCTGGGCACCCCCACTTTTCAGAGAGACCTATTAAGGGCAGGGCTCCCACTGAGCAGGGTGCTCAGGGCCTGAGATGGGGCCCTGCCTCCCCCTCCCGGCCCCCAAGGCTGTCATGTCTTTAACTGCCCCTGCTGCGTCTGTGCCCACCTCACCTGCCCACAGACAAGATGGTGATCTCGCCCTGGCGTCCTGCCTTGGCTCCAGCCTTGGGCACCCTGGTCGGGTTAGGCAGAAGGCTGGGAGCAGGAGCAGTGGCAGCTGCAGCCTCAGGGGACAGCAGCACCTCGGGCCACTTCTTCTGGCTACAACGGGAGCAGCAGGGACCAGAGAGGGAGGCCAGGCCCTGCACGGTGTGGAGGTGGTGGCGGTGCGGGCAGATATGCGGCACATTCAAAGGCGCTGGCGGCAGCCTGTAGGGGGCACAGGCACAAGTAGCCACAGGCCAGGGGCAGGAGACCCCAGCAGGCCGTGGAGGAAACAGGGTTACATGAGGAAGGAGACCCAAGCAGGAGAACCCCAAGAGGCAGGCTGGTTAATGTGAATTTTGGCCCCATCGTCTCCCACCAGCCCACTCACTTGGACACAGGCCTGTGGCTCGTCTGCACCAGCTGTTTGCTGTGGTAGTCTTTCAGCAGCTCCTCCAGGGCCGCGGCATTCTCTGTGGGCAGCTGTGGTCAGACCCCGGCTCTGGCCATACAGGACACGCCTCCTACCCCCTGCCCCAGCAGAGAACCCCCTCACCCCTCCATACCACCCATCCCAGCCTGGACTGTGTGCCTTTTCCTCCCACTTCATCAGGCAAGAATGGGAGGCAGAGGTGTACATTCCTGGGTCAGAGAGCGCCAGGCTGCTCAAGGCACCCCAGTAGGAAGGGCAGAGCAAGACACGACTCTGCCCCCTTGTGGCTGCCTCACAGGCTCCTGGAGGAAACCCCTCCTCTCCTGAGCACTGCGATGGGGTCAGACCTTCTCCTCACCTTTCTTCTCTGTGATCAGGCGCACCAGGACTCCAATGGTGTCCTCATTGGCGTCCTCAGCCCGGTAGGCAGGATTGATTCCTGGGGAAGAGAAGGGCCCTGATCCTCAGGAAGAAGGGGATGCCATGCTCCTGAGCTACACCATGGTCTGCCAGCAGAGGGCACCCCTGGCCTTCTTGAGGGCCCTGAGTGTGTGTGTTCAGGTGGCAAGTCTCCCAGAGCCCTGCAAATGCAGGATCCAGGCTCAGAGAAGCCCATATCACCCTCACGACTCTCACCACTGCTTCCTGTACCCAACAGCCCGGGTGCATAGAAGCTTCAGGGCCATGTGAACTCCAGTCACTGAATTGAGGGGCAGGGCACATCAGCTTCTTCTGGGCCTGTACTGTCTCCTCCTCAGCCTGAAGGAGCTGTGGGCCGCCTCCCTAACCAGAACTCCCAAAATCTATAGCAAACTGCCATTCCATGGCCTCTCTGTACCGTGCCCGGTCTGCACAACAATTTAACTGTGAGCCCCAAGTTAGCTTTGGGCCCAAATCTGAAGGGTGTGAGAATGGGCCACAATGATCAACCCTGGACCCAACAACAAACAGAGCTTCTGGGACTTGCACCCAGACAGCAGCCAGCAGTTAAAGGAGGTCTCTAGGAAAACAAGCACAGTCTCAGGCAAAATGGCCCTGAGTCACCACCTTCCTTCCTGCTGGCCCAATGCTCCTGTCCCCTACCTGCCCCCAGTGTCAGGAGTTAGAAGGGGCTCCGGCTCCCATAACAGCCCAACAGCCCAGGGTGCTGGCATGGGAGATGCCATTTCATTCAATGACATGCCCACAGGCTCCCGTGGGCCCAGGGCAGGGTGAGCGCACGTGGGCCCCTGCCCTGCAGGGGAGTGGTGGTGTGGGGAAGAAGGAAAGGGGCCAGGGCCCTGGGGGTGGGGGTGGTGGCACATGCCTGCTCCTCCGGTTCCAGGCCCTGTAACTCAAACCACATCCTAAAACCGAAACCTGAGCCCCTCGTGGCTCCTGCCCAGGACAGGACAGCTGTCCTGCCAGCCCTCCTGACACAGGGCACACCTCCCGCTCCAGGCCAGAGGTCAGAGGTCACCTTGAGTACCTCCAAGGCCATCTGACCCTGGAACCATACACACAACTGTGGCCTCCAAAGAGTCCAGATCCCCACATCTAGGCAAGGCTTCATGCAGGGTGGGATCCTGCTGAAGCCACCTGCTCAGCTGTGCCACCTCTGCTCCACCCCCATGGCCACACCTCGTCCCCTCACCCTTCCTCCTATTTTGTCAGTCTGCAGCTGTCACCTCCCAGGCCTCTCCCACTCAGTCCCGAGGCTAGGCAGGGTTCTGCTGGCAGGCCCCAAGTGGAACTAGGGCTAGGCTCATGCCCTCTGTCCTCCCCACCTGGACCCCAGCCGGGCCTCACCACTGCCTCCACCTCCAGGGCCGGGCCCGACCTCCTTGTGCGCCGTGCAGTGGTAGCCCTTCCGCTTGAGGAGATTGCACACCAGGATGCCCAGCAGCCCCATGAGGCAGAAGACAGGCACAATGGCGATGACTGCGTACTGGGCGGCTGTCTCCTCCGGGCCACCCGCCCGGGTGCCATTCCCAGGCTGCCGCATCTCACCACCGCCGCTGGCCCCTGCTGCCACCTCCACGCCACGTCGGGCCCGCCGCCCCCACTCTGAACAGCACAGACGATGGAGGCAAGACAGAGGCAAGAGCAACACAGACACAGAGAGACAGGGGCCCGGGGCCCGAGTCAGAGGGGGCTGCAGGAGAGCCAACGTGCCCAGGACAGCCTACTCCCCACCATGCTGGGGATGCAAAGGTCAACCTGCTGCCCTCCTGTTTTCCTTTCTGGACGTCAAAGCATCATCCTGAACAAGGCCTCCTCAGGATGGCCAGACACCCAGCCCCACCCTCCACTCATGCTGGGCTCGGGGGGTGAAGAGATGGCACACGGGGCGCATGCTTGGGCACAGGGACATGGGATGTCTGCCAGTGGCCTTGCCATGAATCAGTGCCTCAGGGTGACACAGTGGCAGGAGGAGGTGTGTGCAAGTGTCTGCGTGCACTCACTTATCTGCATGGGTTTTTTTAGGCAGAGTCTTGCTCTGTGGCCCAGGCTGGAGTGCAACAGCATGATCACAGCTCACTACAGCATGGAAATCATGGGCTCAAGCAATCCTCTTGCCTCGGCCTTCTGAGTGGCACCACCACGCCCAGCTAATTTTTTATTTTTATTTTTTGCAGACATGGTCTTGTTATGTTGCCCAAGCTGGTCTCAAAGTGATCCTCCCGCCCTGGCCCCACAAAGTGTTGGGATTACAGGCATGAGCCACTGTACTTGGTTGGCATAAGTCTGAGAGCACGGAGACAAGGGACAGGTCAGCATGTGAGTCTCCAGCCCCCAGCTGTGGCTGCCACCTTCAGGAAGCTCTCTGCCACTTGGAAGCACAGTGGGCAGACACAGCCAGGGGAGTGGCTGGCTGTGCCCTGCTGGACACCCTCTGGCTACACGCCCTGCCCTGGGCTGGGAGAAGAACCCCACTGCCCCCACATGAACACTGCAGAGGCTGCTGGGCTCCAGCTCACTGGCCTCCTCCTGCACATACCCCCACACCAACCCTAGCCCCAGTCTGCCACTCACCATCACAACCACGAGTGCCCAGAGGTGCCCAGGAACACGGTTGACATGGAACACGGGGGATCCCCCAAGGCCCAAACCATCTGTGAGGAAAGAAGATGCCACTGAGGCCCAGGAAGTTCTCCCAAACACTGTCATTAGCAGAGGCTGGATTCTCTCCTACCAGCCACCCTCACTGGTCCTGCCCCCTCCCATTTCACAGATGGGAAGACCGAGGCCTGCTCAGGGTACAGTAAGGCTGGAACCCCAGGATCCAGAGTCCTGGACACCCAGCCAGGAACCCTCCCTGTACTCCCCTTGGCTTACCCAGGCCGGCAGTCTCCACAGAGTGTATCTCGAGTGGCTGTGCCCACCTGAGCCTCCAGCCTCCTCCGAAGGCTGCAGCGGGTATGGGGCTGGCATGGGCTGGAGCCCCATGCAGCTGAGAAGGTGCCTGAGGGACAGGGCCTACATAATGTGTCCTGCCCCGGGTCCTGTGGGAGGTAAAGGGTGAGAACATGGCCAGGAGCCAAGCCTGAGGACCATTGGGGGGTCAGGCCAGGGACTCTGCCCCTGGTCCTCAGGACCTTCCCAGGACAGGCAGGAGGGCAGGGCAATGCTCACCAGGTCAGGCTCCTCCCCAGGTGGGCACTGCCAAAGGGTTGTTGATGTCAGGGTGGCCAGAGGCCAGGGTAGCAGCTGGAAGAACAGCAGGCACTGAGAGGCAGAAAGTGCTGGGGTCTCTGGGGTCATCTATCCCCCACCTATTTCCTGAAACCCCAGTGGTGGGGACCACTGACCACCCAGGGCTACCCCACCTGGGTTCAGGGACATACTCTTCTAACCTCAATCCTTCACACTTCGAGGAAAACTCTGTCCTGTCCCGGACCTGCTGCATGGCCAGTACCTGGGCAAGGACAGAGCCACATCCGCCTCTGCAAAGTGCTGGAAAGCCCCAAACACCACCAGATGGGGATCTCAAGCCCTTCCGGCTGACCAGAACAATGAAGAGGAAATGCTTCCGAATCCTCTCTCATATTCTGTTCCGCTTCCTGCGGCCTTGGGTCCATCCCTGCCCTCATCACAGCTGGGCATGTCATTAACCAGCCTCATTTATCATCCCTGGAGCCAAGTCCGCAGGTGGTGCTTCCTATTCCAGGCCCTCCCCTCAGCGAGGTCTCCAGCACCACATCCTCCCCCGTGACTTCCCCTCGAGGTGAGGCCACCCCATTCACGCCCACACCTAAAGAGGAGACACATCCCAAAGGAAAGCTCCATCTTCTGTGTGTGTGTCCCCAGCCCATTTCACTAAGCGCTCCCTCTGCTTCCCATTCTTAGGAATGAACTGTCTCTCTGAATCACTCTTGGAGGAGACCTCAGTCCTCCAATTCAGCCTAGACTGGATGGGGCCACCATCAGCTGCCCTGGAGATGGAATAGGGACCCCTTCAGACCCCAGACCGGCTCACAGAGCACCTGCTAAGGCTGGAAGGCCTCCTATACATGGAGCAACCCTTGGCAAGGCCCAAGGCCAAGTCTCACCCTCCCTGAGCTTCCAGCATCACAGCAGAAAGACGGGCCCCGGAGCAGATCCCAAGATGCTTCACGTCTGTGATGCAGACTCACCTGTAGCTCTGGGCAGCTGGCCTGAGCCTTTGATCCTGGGACTTGGAATCTGGGACCCCCAGACCAATATAGATCTTGAACCCCAGCACCTGAGGTGCTATGGCCCTCAGATTCCAAATCCGAGGCCTCCTTTGCCCAATTTCCTCTTGGCACCCAGCCTACCCTCCAGGCTGGGCTCTGTTCTCACCCTGCGTGCCAATAGGCAACTTGCCCTCAGCCATGCCTGCCTCACCAATAAATGCCTGCAAATCCTTCCTTCTCCATCTCCCTGACAAACCTGGGTGGGCCTGGAGGTGCTTCCGAGGGTCTGACTGCCTCAGACTCTTCAGCAGCTGAGTAAATGAGCCCTGTCCTGGCAGGGAGTTCCTGGGGAGTGTCTGCACCCTCTTGCTGGAGAGCTGCAGCGCTGAGGGTGTGGCTTTTCTCCTTCCCAGGGCCCATCTCCAACTCACCATAAGGAAGCAGGACAGGGATCTGCACAGCAGGTGTGGTTTCATCCTCAGGCTCCCGGCAGTCACTGGCCTAGGGCAGATGGAGAGGAGGCTCGGCGGAGTGGCAGGGAAAGGCAGGCAGCTGCTGTCCCCTCAGCACCACTTCCAGGATGACAGGACTCATGGGGAGCAGGCAAGGTACTGCTGGGCAGTCAGAGCCCAGGGAGGCCGGCTCCAAACCCCTAGGCACATGCCCGGGCAGAGGGGGCTGGCCTGCCTGGGCGCCAGCCTCACCCTTGGGGGTCAGGTGGGAAGGCAGAAGGAAGCCTCTGCAGGCTGGGAGGCTGCTCAGAGGAGGATGGGCTTCCTTCCGTTCCTTAAATTACCAGGTGACCCAAGGCACCAGCAGGGGAAGGAAGCACATGTGGCAGCCTGTGGTGATGATGACTGGGTTGCAACCAACACCAAACACCCCAGTCAGGAGCCCTCCCTGCAATCCCCTTGGAGCCCAGACTCCACACTCCAGCCCAGTGCTCCAGGCTCAGGCTCCCTCGCCACTGCCTCCTCACAGGTCTGCAAGCACGCCTGGCCTCTGCCTTCGCTTCCATGGGTTCTGCTCCAAGGAAGACCTTTTCCCTCAACCCTTCAAAGCCCAACACAAAGGTCTCTCTTGTCAGAAGCTTCTCTAGAAACTTTCCCCGAAGTGGGTCCAGCTCCCACAGCTCCCTATACCATCTAGGTCCTGGTCCTTCCACATGGCCACGGTCCACACCTCTTCCAGGAAGGCTGACTCCTCCCTCGAGGCTGGGACGTGTCTGGTCACAGTTCTGCCGGGGGCAGACCTATGGGGCTGCGGTGGTCACAGCAGCCAGTGTTCGGTCTTTGTCATTTCTCCAACACCTACTGCGTGCAGGCACTGGGGAAATCAGTATAAACAAGACAGACAGGGTCCCTGTTTTCAGGGAGCTCCACCCTAGGGGAGACTAACTGCAACCACAGAGAGGTGCCCCACCAGCTGCTGGTTAAGTGCCAAGAAACAAAATAAAGCAGAGTGGGAGTCCAGTGTGTGATACTTCAGAGAAATATCCCTTGTGGCTCCGCAGCCCACCAGTCTGAGGCTGAGGCCCCCAGGCCCAGACGGCAGCCTGCTCTGGAGAAACCTCTAGCCAGTGGATAAGGCAGACTCTGTAGGACGAAGGACTCACATCAGACAGCAGGAAGGACAGCGGCAGAGCCAGGAAGTCTGCCGTGGACCTCCCGGAGGCCTGGTTTCAGGGGAACGAGGCTGAGGGAAGCTGTGCTCCTCAGGGCACACACAGCCTCTTAAGCCCAGGGGCAGTTTGGGAACCCAGCCACTGGCTCAGGGCCCCCGCAGGCCGAGGCCCCCAGCTGACTCCAAGCCTGGTGAGGTGAGAAAGTGCTGCCTGTGGTAGGTTCCAGGTCACTCAGAGCCCTCTCCCTGAAGCCTGCCCAGCCTTCCCACCTAGAATAGCAGCACAGGAAACTGATCTGTCCGCCCGCCCTCCCTCTCAGCAGACCTCGGAAGGGCCCAGGCTTTGAGTTACACTCGGGAGGGAGGGGGCACGGTCACATCATCTCGGGACTCTCCAGGTCACTGGCAGCCACTCTGGGTCCCAGGCCAGCTCAGGGGAAGCCAGGGACAGAAGAAGGCAGGGCCACAGGGTAGGGTGGAGGCCACACCTGGCAGTCAACACCCAACAGATGGTACCCCCAGGCCATTTGGGGAGGGTCCCTAGTACTGCCTCGATTTTGGTGGCAAGTCTTCCTTCCAGGTTCTGTCCCAACGTGTCTGGTCTCCTTGCAGGGGCCCAGCTCCCACCTCAAGTCTGTTTTCCCATGGTCCCTCCCCTGTCCTCTGAGGGATCTAACCCACAGACCTGACCACAAGCCCCGAGTACTCAGGCTTCACTTCCGCACTAGGCCTAACTGTGTAGTACAGAGCCCAGAGGAACTGTGACCAACCTGACAGCCCAGTCCCCAGCTCCAACACCCCTCCATGTCTCCAAGAGAGGCCCAGAGGGCTGAAGCAGGGGTGAAAAGAGGCAAATCAACCACAGTAGAACACGTTAGAACCACCCCCGACCCTGGGTGGCACCTGCTAGGCAACCTGAGCCCACAGAGAGCAGTTGCTCATCTGCAGACAGATGCTGTGTGATCTAGAACCTTCCAGGAGGAAAGCAGGGTCCAACGGCCCAGACTCAAAGTCAGCGAGGGCCCGCTCCAGCACAGGCACAGACACTGCCACCTAGGGCCTTGTGCCTTCTAATTAAGCACCTTCTCATTACCCCAAACCAGCACTTACTCCAGTCTGGCTGCCCGGCTCCCACTCAGCCCAGACTGAGGCCCCGCTGGACTTGCCCAGTCAGGCAGAAAGGCCTGGTACACACACATGTCCACACCTGCTGCTCAGCACCCCCACCCCTGCCCTAAGAGGCCTCCACGGTCTAAAACAGGCCTGCATCTGTGACCAAAAAACAAGTTCAGATGGAAGCCCCTCGGCTGGGAGGGGATTTGTGAAGACCCCATATCTGCCTCTGCCTCATCCTGAAGGCTGGGCAGTCAGTGAGGCCCCAGAGCCTGGGATTCCTTACAGAGGAGAGCCACACTGGATGGGGAGGAGAAGCCCCATGTGGTTGGGGGGAGGTGCAGAGCAGAGAAGGAACTCAGCTTAGAGGCCACTCCTCCAGCAAGTCTCCTAGCCTGGGGCCCAGTCGCCACTGCCACCAACTCCCTGTGGGACCTTCAGGTCACTGGGTCTCAGTTTCTGCATTTACAAGATGGGGATGTTCATGGTCCATCTCCCATGGCAAGGCTGTCATGAGGTTTTCTGGGGGATTTGTTCTGTTTTTCTGAGACAGTATCTTGCTCTGCCATCCGTGATGGAGTGCAGTAGCATGATCACAGCTCACTGTAACTCTGAACTTTTAATCAATCCTCCTGCTTCAGCCTCTTGAGTAACTGGGACTGCAGGCATGCCCCACCACACCTGGCTAAATTTTTAAATTTATTGTTTGCAGAGACAGGGTTGGTTGCCCAGGCTGGTCTCCAATTCTTGGGCTCAAGTGATCCTCTCGCCTTGGCCTCTCAAAGTGCTGGGATTCCAGGTGTGAGCCACTGTGCCCAGCCAGTCATGGGGTTTAAAGGAGGTAATGAAGCTAAAGTAGGTCATGGGATTTCATCCTCCACAGCCCTTCTCCTCTGCCCCGCCGGCGGAGGGCTGTGATTAAGAATTTGTTTATTCCTTGCTCCCCCACCAGACAGGGGTGAGGGCAGCAATGTCTGTTTTATTTGCCACAAAACTCCACACCCAACCCCATGTCTGAAGCGGGAGGCCTCCAAACAGGCTGATGAGGTGGGGAGGGCTTCCTCAGACTCAGCCCTCCAAAAAAATGCCCAAACAATTAGAACCAGAAATTCCCTGAAGAAAAGCCAACTAGCCAAGGCCATGACCAGGGCCTCAAGCTGAGGGCCCCAGACCGTGGTGGCGGCCAGAGGCGGTACAGCCCCAGGGAGGTGCAGCCCTGGAGGCCTCAGAGAAAGAGGAAGCTGTGCCACCCGCCCAGGCCGCAGGCAGCTTCCCCTTTCCCAGAACTGAAGCTCACTGGAGTCACCAGGGCCCTGCCACACCACTCCCCTTCCCCTAGGCAGGGCCCTCCCCTTCCCTACTGTCCCTAAGCTCTCCCAGGGCCTGCGCCCATTGCTCCTGCCCCTTTGCCCCATCCCTGGCCTCCAGCTCAGCCCCACCCTGAAGCCTAGGTATCCTGATACCCAGTTCTGGCCCTGTCCCTGGGCCAGCTCCCACCACCCGGTGATGGCATCCTCCCACGCAGTGATGGCATCCTGACACACCCCCGCCAACCTGTCCTACCCACACGCCTGCCACACTGAGCTGCTTTCCACCCTCACAGCACAGCACAGCACAGCACACTGCACCTGCTGTCAGCTCTCCCCTCATCGCTTGGCCAGTACCCACTCTTCGTTAGAGCTCAGCTCAAAGTCACTTCCTCCTGGAAGCTCCCCCGTCCCCACCTCCCCCTCAGCATTCATGCTGCCATACAGATCCCATTACCCAGCCCCTTCCCCACCACAAGCTGCCCCCTCCATGCCCAGTGCTGAGTTAGACTGGTATGGGCTGATCTGGGGGCGGAGGCAGAAAAGGCGCTCTCAGTAGAGAGCCAGCTACACCAAGCAAGGAGGGCCAGAGAGCAGGCTGAAGGGGAAGGAGCTGAGAGGCAGGGATGGGCTAGAACCCAGATCTGAACCCCGGGGCTAACCTGGGGATACAAAGCGTGGGGTATAGTCCTGCTCTGCTCTGTCGTGCACTGGCTCCGTGGCCACCTTCAGAGGGCTGTAGTGAGGCTGAAAGGAGAGAATCACATTACATATGCTGCATAGGCCTGGCACAGACTAAGCATTCCCCACACTTCACTGTGCCTCAGTTTCCCTATGTGTGGACTGAAGGGAAGGGCACACACCTTTTTACATTCAGTGCCTGGCACACAGCCTGGTACACAGGTGGTGCTGGGTTCCCCTTGGTGGGAATCTGGAGGGTGGGAGGGTGCAGGAGATGGGAGGAGTCTGGGAAGGTTGGTGGGCAGTACTCAGGTCACACCAAGGCTCAGCTGCCTGCCAAAAAGCCTGCACTTCCCCCTGGGGCCTATGGGAGCCTGGAAGGGTTAAGCTGGGGGAGGGAGAAGAATGAGCGGTTCAGGCTGTCTGCCAAGGGAGGCCGAACTTGGGGAGATGGAGGTGGGGGCCGGCACCCACCTGGAGCATGGCAGGTTGGGAGGCAGCTACTCTGCTTCCCAGACAGTGGCTCCTGAGCCTGTGGACCTCCCTCTGGCCTCCAGAGGCTAGGGGTTGCCTGGAAACACAGCTGGACACAGGCCTTCCTTGGCGGTGGCCACACCCAAAACAGGAAGACAAAGGCCACCCATCAACTGAGAAATCCAGGTTAGCAAGGAGCCCAGCAGTTCCCTGGCAACTGGGGCTGAAGTAGAGCAGTGCCCACACTGGGTGGCTTTCCCTCCTCCACACTCAGGGAAAAGGAACCGACCCCAGCCCTGTGCA